TTAATTTCCTCATAGATTAATATGGGAAAAATAAACATCTATCTTGAACAGCTATTTAACAATTAAATAAATAAACATTTAAAGCATTTAGAACAGGGCATGGTACATAGTGCACCGCAAGTGTTAGTTAAGCAGTTACATATTTTTCCTTGCTCCAGACCTCTCTACATATTGTTTTATTACTCTTAAATGGTGCTTCTGGTATGTCAGTACTCTGCACAGAACTCTCCCTAGCTTTCCATACATGTGGGTCCATATCCTTAGTTTGGTAATCAAGGCACTCTACAACTTGGCACTACACTATCTACTCAGCTTCAGTTACCCAACATCTACTTTATACAAAATAAAAGGAAACAGACATATAAGGCAGAGACCCTCTCCTCCAGGGTTTGACAACTAATTACAAAAACAAGGCACAAACATAAAACCATTACACAGAACGGGTGTTCACCATAGCTGCTCTCCAAAAGAACTCTACCATCCAATAAAATCAGTTTCCACAGTGTTTGCAAGATGCCAAACTCATTCAAAATTCTCTCTTTTTGTCTGTTTTATTCCACTCTCATCCCCTCGAAACACACAAAAACAACCCAGGAAGTACTTTTTCTTAATTTGTATCTACTCATCCCTTGTTTTAAAGTCTAATACAAACACTATCACTCTCTTACCATTTAAACTTACATAACACTATCTTCTCTCAATAACTGTTCTCAAGTTGTATAGTCACTCTCTGTAAAATAAAAGCTCCTAAAAAGAAGAAATAACAATTTCTTGCCAGTTTTTGCCATTTCCTTCCCCCTCACCATGTCCTCCACTAAAACAGATCATGCCAGAACAGGTGCTCAAAAGTATGTGTTGAATTTAAGCAAAAAAGTGAAACTGGAAGTAAACAACTAATACTACTACAGTAAGACTGGAAGTAGACTGCACACTGTTTGGACCACTGTGTTACCACCTGTCCACAAAGCCTCAAATCAGATGGGGCCATCCAAATCAGAAAGAGGTAGTCCACTCACTATCCTTTCTATGTAACCACCATATGGATAGGTTTGTTTTTCAGTGGTACCTTGAGTCAATACAAGGATTAACAACCATTCTATTATCTACCATCTAACTTGAAAAGTTTGACCTTCAAAAAGGATGATACACTGGGCCAGCATCTAAGCAGAGCAATATCCAACTGCTATATCCCTGAGTAGATGATTTGGGAAAGCTTGTTAAAGTCCAGTTTGTGGCAAATCTGTCACCCTTCAACATACAAGTTTTAAGTACCATAACACATTCCATGAACTTAGCATTAAAAAGTGTCACCTAACCCAGGCGTCATGGCTCAGCTGTTGAGCATCGACCTATGATCCAGGAGATCGAGGTTCGATTCCCAGTCAGGACACATGCCCGGGTTGTGGATTCGATCCCCTGTACGGGGTGTCCAATCAGTGACTCTCTCATCATTGATGTTTCTATCTTTCTCTCTCCCTCTTCCTTCCTCTCTCTGAAATCAATAAAGATATATTTTAAAAATATTAAAATTAAAATAAAAAATTAGAAGTGTCACCTACATTTCCATGTGCCCACATTTTGCAAATCTTCTATAATAAACATGTATTACTTGAATAATCAGAAAGTTTCAAATGTTTAGTATTTCTTCCAGATTTTAATGGGCTTCCCATAATGGCCCATACAGAACACAACAACCACAATTAAAATTAAACCAAAAAGAGCCCTGGCCAGTGTGTCTCAGTGGTTAGAGCATCGGCCTGAGCACCAAAGGGTAATGGGTTTGATTTCCGGTCAAGGGCATGTATCTGAGTTGAAGGTTGGATCCCTGGCCCTGGTTGGGACACATGTGGGAGGCAACCACCAATTGATGTATCTTTCACATCGAAGTTTCTCTTTCTCTTTCTCCCCCCCCTTCTACTCTCTCTAAAAATCAATGGAAAAAATATCCTCAAGTGAGGACTAACAATAAATAAACAAAAGGGCATATTAGCCCAACTTCCTACCTCCCAGGTAAAGTACCAATTTGGACAAAGTTCTCAACTTCATATGTTTCAATTTAAAAAATTACTTCTACAGCCCTGGGGAGCTCAGTTGGTTAGAGCATCGCCCTGCTACTCCAAAGTTGTGAGCCTGATCCCTGGTCAGGGCACATACAAGAAGCAAGCAATGGATGCACAAATAAGTGGGACAACAAATTGATGTTTCTCTCTCTCTCTAAAATCAATCAATAATTTTTTTTTTAAATTACTTCTACATATGCCATCACATGAAAGAAAAAAATTTCTTATTACCTTCCTAAGACTCCACAGCATTAAAACAAATTGCAAAGAGCTGCCTAGACAGTTCCTCTTCTCCCACCCCCACTCTAAACACCCTCCTCCCTAAGTACTGAGCCCTTAATAATGCCCAGGAAAGGGTGCTAAGTGATTTACATGATTATCCCAACCCTCAAAACAGAAGCAGGTTCCATTATTCTCCTCAGAAGAGAAAACTGAGGCTTAGAGATGTTTGGGGGGAAAAACTTGCCTGAGGAGATGCTTATAGAAGGAGGGATTCTTGTACTGTACAAAAGGATTTGCTGGGAATGGCCCAGGGACTTTTTTTTTTTTTAAATACATCTTTATTGATTTCAGAGAGAGGAAGAGAGAGAGAGAAAGTTGAAACATCAATGGTGAGAGAGTTGCCATTGATTGGATGCCTCCTACACGCCCCAACTGGGTATCAAGCCCACAACCCAGGCATGTGCCCTGACCGGGAATCGAACCTCAATCTCCTGGATCACAGGTCGATGATGCTCAACCGCTGAGCCACGTCTGGCCGGGCAGCCCAGGGACTTTTGATATGAGACAATTATAGCAGAAATCCTCAAACTGGAACTTTCACACAGAAAACAATAAATGATATTTGGTCAAACTGTGGGTTTTCTTTGGAACTGTGTACCTCACAATATCTGGCACACAAAAGATGCTCAATAAAAACCAGTCTGTTTGAATTTAAATTTTAAATAGTTAATTCCTAAAATAATTTGATCACATGGCAAAATCTGACAGGTTATTTGTTTTACCTAGATTAGATGGTACAATAGCCAATAATTGTATCTACACCTAAAGTAATATTCTCAGGGTTCAGTTAATAAAGCATAAATAAAAAGGAAAAATGGCAGAAATTAGTTGTGTATCCCTTAAAGATAAGTTTTTCTAATAATAAATAAGTTTAAAATTTTAACATATCACAATTTATACAATAAACACTCACTATTGACCTATTCTTAGTCATCTCAAAATAATCTATTGTGGGGGTTTTTAGTATAGCCACCAAAAGCACTATTCATATAATCACTGTTTTTCAAATAAGTAAAAGAAAAAAAATCTGAGTCTCCTTTGAGTATTGAGTCAAAGTAAAGAATGTGCATTTTCAGAGTTTGTACTTTAAGCAAACCTGTAATCTGATTAAGTTGCACTGTAACTGTTGCCCAGGGACATAAAAAGACAAAAATCTAAAAGCTGGCTGAGTTAAGGTACTAGCAGTTAATTGATGTTTGAATCTGACTGATGGAAAGATAAGTTCTATGAGTATTCACTTTAAATTATTATGGATAATCTATGAAATCTTTCAGGAACCCAAACTTTAGTTTCTAAGGAGGAAAAAAGTGTCTGTTCCACAGGTAAATGAGCATCTGGTGTTATACAGAAAAATTAACATACTTTTCAGTTCTCATCCTACACACAGATTAGGATAAAGGTATTATGCAAACACACAGCACTTGGGCAATTTTTTCCTTCTTTTTTGAAAAATGATTTATAGAGTAATTCCTTAATTCAGTAGCAACAAAGTATTACTTTCTTCCTTTCGAAGCTCAGGTTTCTTTTATTTCAAAACACTACTCTTGAAGACTTAAATTTTTCCTTTGAAAAACACTTAATGATTTAACTCAAAAAGGGGGAGCAAAAGTCAGGAGGTGAAACCTGAGATATTATTAGTCTTACATAACTGGCTCTAAGTTGGAATTGATTCTGTAGCTCAACTAAACCCTGAGGTTTAAGCACAAAGATGAGCTCTTTAGTATATTCTTCACAAACATAAAGAGTTTTAAAAATTGAAAGGGTCTTTATTTTTTTCCTTGCATTCTTAAAATATAAGCACTCACATGTATATATAGTATTAGGGTGCCAACATAAAAATGATCAAATGGTCACACTTAAAGAGCACTAAATTCATCCTATTGCATCTAGGTAATGCAATAATTGATAGAACTGAATATAATTTATGAAAATAATTTCCTAACACTGATTTTTAAATATCACCTTTGTAAGTATGCATAAAGTATTTTAACAAGTGCTGCAGGCAACATCCAAACATGACTTCCAAAAACAACAGGTATATGTTCATGCAAATTGCAAACAAAACTCTGAAAATGCAGTTAGTTGTTCATGCCTAATTAAACTGGTTTTGATCATTGCAAATTACTCCTTCGAGGGTATATATGTATCAAATCTTTCAAAATCTAACTTTACACAAACTACTGCCTTTACTAGACAGGCCCTGCTCTGAACTCAACTAAAAGATAGGTGTTAACTACATCTCACCACGGAGTCACTTAAGCCCCAGTGTAATAATGGCCACGGATTCCCTGCATTGCTTTGGGAACTGCCGCTTGCTTAATCAAGCTCTGAACTGCAAATTCGCCTTTCTAAAAACACTGAAAACAAGAAGGCAAGTTTCACTATCTAGTTTTCCGAAACGAACTAAGGTTTGGGATTTCACTGGGAATGACCACGTTATCAAGATGCCATCGCCCTCCCAAGGTATTTAATTACAATACCTTCTCTGTTTTCCATTCAAACACCTCAATTAAATTTCCACTAGAGCCAGACACACAAAAGTTGATTCCGTGGTCTTGCTGAAAGTCTCCTGTGGGTGCAAACCCTGGGATCCCGCATGCATTATGCAGAAGAGCATAGGGAAACAAAAATGATGTTAAAACAATGTGGTGACATTACCTTGCCTGTCTTGTGATCAAACCAGACCAGAGCATGGTTCCTTGACAGCACTTTGCAATCAAAGGTAGCATTATTCTGCGCGGGTCGACAGCGGGCCACGGAGCGGCCAATTTTAATGGGTTCGTCCAGGTAGACATGACGCTCCTGAAACGGGTGCGAGTTCGGGCGGCAAGTGAAGATGGCCAAGGCTGACGGCATCGAGGACAGACTGGGGGTGTCTCTCCTACCAAAGGACAAAGAGGAGTTCCACCGGATCTGCACTATCCCTCACAAGCCTATACCCCTATCCTCCCCAAAATTCTGTATTAAAACAAACTGCGCATTGTCTAAGCATAACCAGTGAACATCAACAATTCTTCACTTGAGTGGGAAGACAAGCCAGCGCAAGCCCCATCACCTCCTTTAAAATCCAGGAGCGCCCTGATTACAAAAAGTCCCCAACTGGCAGCTTTCAGTCCATCTTCTTTCTTGGGAAGAAAAGGCTCAAACATCGGACAGCTTCAGCCAAGTAAACTCCTGGAAGACAGTTTGGGGACTGGAGGTATCCAAGCAGATGAGTCACGCACCAATTCTTGTGTTTTGTTTGGGATCGAGGCCGTTTTTCCCCCTCGGTGGCGGAAATGTTGCAGCACTGCAGCATGAAGGAAGGGTCGGTTTGATGAGGCCAGCAAGGTCTTTTCGGGGCGAAGGGAGGTGTGGCCCAACACCTCTGGGCAGCCACCACCCGTCCTGGAGGGCCTCGGAAGTGGAAGGGCGAGAGGGGTCCGAGGGGGTCTAGACCGCCAGCGGGACAGTCTGCATTGCCCCGATGCGCGGAGGCCGCCGGGAGGTGGCACGGGATCCCCGGACCGCACCAGCCGAGGCGGCGGTGGCTGGGCTCCTTGGCACGAGCAGCAGGGACCCACGGGGGCGCGGGCAGCGGCCGAGGGGGGACTCCCGGGCACCTGGCGGGCGTCCCCGTGACCAGGGCGGGGATGGGGACCGAGCTAGGCACGACCCCGGGGAGGCTCGGGGGTCTCCGCCCGCAGGAAGTTGGTCCCTGGACGCCTGGGCTCCGGGCTCCTGGTCAGCACACCGGCCGCCTCTTCTCAGGGTCGCCCCCGCGAGGGTCGCATCTCAGGGACAGCAGCCGCAGCTCCCGGCGGACGAGGAGGTGGGGGAGGGAGGCTGGCCCGGCGGTGGGGGAGAGGCCTGGAGGCCCCGGGCTGAGTCCGCCGCAGCCTCCACCGCTCGGGG